TCAAACGAGCAACATACTAAACAAGCACTAAGGGAAAGAATCAATAATTTGGATAAGGACAGAAAGAAGGAGTAAGCACAGAACCTCAACTTTTCTCTGCTCCAAGATATCGTGGATCGATTAAAGTGGTATTGGACATAGTGTCTCCTTGACGCTTACCAATAATTTTTGCGGTTTCCCCCCTCCCGTTTAATTCCGCTTTACATCTTGTTTTGTATTTTATTGTGGTTGTTTTACGGCTGCATAAGTGGTTTTAGACTCTACTGTTTTTCCCACTTTAAATATGATCGTGTCGCTAAAAGCCGAGACGAATGAACACCTTGGGTCCTAGTTTGATGAGTTAAATGCAGCTTGCGGCAATTCTATCTGTTCAAAGGCAGTTGCAGATTCATCTGATGGTATGCAGTGGGATGTTGCTCCCGATGGTGTCACAAAACTTGTAGCGGCCTCCAAGCGAACCAGTGCAAAATGCTATCATCCAGTGAAAACTTTCTTGTTATATGTGTTGAATGCTGCACTCAGAAGGCGAAGCGTCCTGCTTTTAATTGTGCTGAATTCAGAGCACCGGCATCCAGGTTCGCAGTTGTTGAGAAGTCGTTAACCGAGCTTGATTCACTTGTCTCGCTGAACGCTAAAGTGGATTTACTTAGGAAAACCATGAATACTGCGAATGAAGACGCTGTAGCGGAGTGTCCCCCTGCTGACAGCCGATCGTCCTACCGAAGGCTCCAATTCACATGGAGATAACTGACATAGATGCCCCGGAAGGTATCGTTGACCCTCCCCAAATGGAAAGCGAGTCACTGGCTCTTGGGCCAAAAAAGAATAAACGAAGGAGGGCAAGGAAAGCACGCTAATCCTCCGCCCCAAAGCTGTGAGGTAAGAAAACGCTGAAGACGTAGGTGCTTGATCTGGAAACACCACCTGATGCTGAAATTCCCTCAGCTACATTTAAAGCGATGCAGACAGCTTTTTAAAAACAACAGATGTCCTATCGCGTGCTAATCAAACTGCAATGGTGCCTAATCCAAACACCTTACCCTATATTCCAGGGGTACAAGCTGACATCGACGTTGAGCCACGAGCTTCTTCGCCTGTTGGACGAAGCAAAAATCGGAACCTAACTGCCCGTACTCTTTAGGCCACTTCGAAAAACGTCAGGAATCATGGGTCAAACAAGCTGTAGCATAAGACATAGGCTGCAGTTGCTTCAGCGTCGTCTGACAATGTTCGCTCAGTCCTATTGCCTGCGGTTAAGCTGTCTGCTGTTCATGTAAATCCGAAAACTCCTGTATCCCGTTTAGGTGATTCTTTCATGGGTAGCGTCGTGCCGCACTTCCTGCGGAACGCACATCGGAGAACCTACGGTGGTTTAAAATGCGTCTAACGCAACTCCTTCCATCTGCGTTTCCCAGTGTTACTGTCAGGAAACTGACTATATTGGGTAACGTCTCAGCTAACGCCCCAACCCCTCTACCCCGCTTACTTCATGTGGTCCTATCCATCCCCGGAAGCAAGCAACATGCTGTTGCAGTTTACTTTCAAACTGAAAGGTACTAATGTTAGTTTTCAGCCAGATCTCCTCAAAACCAGGTGAGCTGCCGGTGAACAAGTACTCCAGTTGTTGGGTTTTCTGGTGGTCAGCAGACGGTCCTTTTCCGCCCTACCTGTGCCAGTCCTGACAGCGCATGACCCAGTGTTGGACATTACGAATACCTTCAGATAGTGCAAAGCAATGTGCGCAGCCTAAGCAATAAGTTGTGCGAGATAGGTCTGCTGGTTGATGGGTCTCATCCCGATATACTCGCATTCACTGAAACATGACTGTCTCAGGACATCACGGATGGTGAAGTATAACTGTCTGACTGCGTACCATGTAGATGTGATCGCTTCGTTGGCCGACAAAACGGGAGTGTCGCGCTTTATGTTAGCAGCAAACTTGATGTTTTGAGGACCTACCCGTTTCAGTCGGCAGACAAAACTGTCTAATTTCTATCGGTAGTGATTAGCACTTCTTTGGCTCAACGTACATTTGTAATTGTGTATAGAAGCGCGTCCAAATAGATGCTTGACTTTATTCGCTCCCAATCCGCAAACAGGTGTTTGATACTGAGTGACCTCAATCAACTGGAGGTTTGCTGAGCAGATCTTTCTTGCAACTTGGCGGAAGGTACTTGCGGTGCAGATCTTCTAGAGCTTAAGTTACAAGTACCTATGCATCAGTTCGTGGACCTCCCCACTAGGTACATGGACACCAAAGTACCGTCTATTTCGAACCTACTTTTTGCCAAGTCACCAGACTTCCTAGGTGACATCACTTATAGCTCTCCCATATGTGCCAGTGATCATGTCTGTTTACCATTCAGCTGTGCTCCGATCAGATGTCACCAGATCATCGCTGAGCCATATCCAAACATATGGCGTGCTAACTATCAGACAAAGCGTATCAAGGATTCTGAGTTGAGTTGCGAAAACTCGGTGGCCAGTACGGTTCAGTTGGCCTGGGATAACTTTAAGTCTTATCTCACGGAGGTGTCTACTCCCTACATTTCACTTACGAGGAGAAAAGAGACGAAGACGACCCCCGAGGATAGATCCCATTGGCAAATACCCGCTTCAGAAGCATTCTAGGTGCTGGAGGATCGACTGTGAGGCGCCATCAACTAGCACCTATGATAGGAACCGCGAAGCTAGAAACAGAGTTAAACAACACTTGAGGAAATCTCGGCTGTTGGACTAAAAGGTATTGGCTGAAGAAGCTTTGGAAAATGTGAAGAAGTTGTTCGCTTTTGTTAATGATCGCTGTGGTTCAAATTTGGTAATTCCAAATTTGATGCGGGACAATGGAGCTCATGCGCATGCGGACTCGGACAAGGTTGCTGTACTTGATAAGCCGTATGTAGGGAATTTTGTACCTTAGGCCGCGTTGACTAGCGTTGAACTTGCCCCCACAGTCCCAGAAGGTAATTATTTAGCTGAAATTACTGTGGTGGAAACGCAAGTCCTTGGCCTGCTGCAAGAACTGAACCCTTCCAAAGCAGCTAGATCTGATTCAATTCACCCGATGCGTCAGTATGAGTTGGGGCGGAACTAATTAGACCACTGACGATGGTGTTTCAGAAGTCACTTGACAGCTGTACATTACCTTCTGAATGGGCGGGGGCTGTCATCTGTCTTATCCACAAAAATGGCGACAGGATTCTGTCAACCAAGTACAGACCAGTCAGTCTGACTAGCGCCTGCTCAAACTGCTTGAAATGTTAGTAAGAGGTTCGGTAAAAGGTCAACTGAATAGATTTATTCTACTCACTAGTGCACAACAAGGGTTCCGGAAGGGTCTTCGTGTCTGACGAATTTGTTGGTTGCTCGTGAATCTTGAGCCGAGGCAGTAGACAATGGCCAGGTAGTGGATGTAATTTCCGTTGACGTTTCGAAAGCATTTGATAAGGTACCCCACTTGAGGTTATCACAAAGCTGAGCTCCTAGGGTGTGCTTACCCGAGGCCTTCACTGGGTATCTGCATTCTCGCAGAGAAGAGAGCAGTGTGTACATGTGGGTCGCAGCTTATACTTTAGGCAAGCGGTCCTTAGCGGTGTCTTACAGTGCTCGGTCCTTGGACCGATGCTGTTCTCCATCTACGTAAACGATCTCCATAGGGAGCCCGGGATAGCACCGCTATGTTTGCTGATGACCTTAAGCTGTGGAATGGTGTGGATGTCTTTGGGGGTTCTGAGGCCATTCAGCATACCCTGGACACACTCTGGGACCGGTCTACTTCGTGGCTAATTCCCATTAATCGGGATAACTGTCCCATCTTTCGTATAGGCATCTTTCTCTCCTTCGAGGTACGCGCTCGGTGGATTCTAACTCCCCCTTGTTTCCAACCAGGTAGACCTAGGCGTCGTCCATTCCTCTTCTTTGTATTCCGGTGACAACTATAAGGACTCAAGTTGGGATTTCAGAATATTGTGGTTAATATGCCGTTCTTTCGGGGTCTTAACTGCCTTCATCTTTGTGAAGCTGTTCTCAGCTTTCGTTCGACCTTATTAGGAATACTGCGTCCAGGCTTGCCCGCCCTGCCTTGTTCGGAACAAAATGGCGCTAGAGGGAGTTTTGATAGTAGGTACCAAGTTGGTCAAGGGGTTACGAGGGTATACGTACCCCGAGCGTCTATGTGGCTTGGGTATGTATTCAGTGCACTACCGACGACGATGAGGAGACCTAATCCTTACTTACCGCATTTTAACACGGTAGGTTGGACCTGACTTGAGCTGGCTATTCAGTCCAGCTAGGTTGCCTTGTCCTTGCAGTCATCTCATGAGTCTACACAAAGCGCGTTCAGACCGGAACAGGACGGAAACTCGGTTATCGCTTCCAGAAAGTTTAGTCAGTGAACCTAAGGTTAAGGGTTTCGAGCGTCAATTAGACGCCCTTTAGTGACAATACGAAACCTTTCCCTTCTACTGACCATATCCATCTTCCAAGTTTGAATTCAAGTTCTGTCATTCTCCTTAATCTTTTGTGTTATCCTTCATTTGAATGACTTTCCTTCCTCTTTATGTTCCTTTGTTTATAAGTCTTCCTCACTCCACGTGACCTGCACAGTGGAGACTGGTAGTGCAGGGAAGGTGAGCAGTAATTGTTTGACTAAAGTGTGATTCGGGTGTTTCGTTTTGGAGCCATCAAGACCTCCTAGCTCCTTATCATTTCTTGGCTCTACGATCCGATCAAGAAGAAACACGCAAGCGATTTTCCTATCGTTTCAGTCCCATCTGGATCGGACCAAATGAAATCACGGTATAATAAAATCAGAGACAAAATGTTATCTTTTGAAATGTATAGTTCAACATGCTTGTTTTAAATGACCAGTTGCCGTAAGGGGACTTCCGAGTCCCCGAAGCGTATGTATCTGTTAATTGCAAAACAAATCACGTGCGCTTCTCGGCTGTGAGACACTTCTTTGTCACCCGCTTGCATTGTTAGGGTTCAAAAGTTTAATAACCAAGCTGTGAAATAGTTTTCTTTGTGATTAGTGACAATTTACACAGTTCCTCATTCTTACAAATCATCAAGATTCAGAAAAAATAATAACTAAGACGCGAACCATGACATCCTGAGATATAAACGGTAATGCAGAGCAACGTATGTATGTCAACTAATTTTCGTTTCTCATCAATGTACAATCTGCAAGCACTATAGCGGAAAGACAAAAATAAAAGTAGTTGAAATCGGGGGGTCTGGGTAGTTCACGTGCCACCATTGGTTAACATGTGAATAGCAAGTAACCGAACTCTGGCTCAGGGGTTCAGTAGTACATATACGGACTGTGTACCTTGGGCTCTGAGCCTGTCCTACTCCTTAAAGTGAACGATGAAGAGTTCTTATAGTCCCATCTTCGTTCATTCAGTTCCCCCACAATCTGTTTCACTCGTCCTCTGTAGGTGGCTAGATCAGCCTTTGCCATGGATGGAGTGTAGCCAACGTTTCCCGTGGAATTGTGTGTGTGGTCCATGTAAAAACGGCAGGGGGGAGAATGGATCCCCTGCGAATTTGGATATTCCCGATAGGACAACCAGTTTGTCGTCCCATACTGGCGACTCTCCGTTAAAGGACGGTAGCTGTATTCGTTACGTGTAGTAGAACGTCCGTAGTTGTTCCCTGATGTACGGCCCAATGTGTTTCCTGAAGTTTCCCTGCATGGTGGGTCAGGTGCCACCTTTGGCATTGCCATTTGGGGCTTTGCATAGTACTCATGTTGTATCGACCTATCTGTTCGGCTGCTGTCGTAGTTTGTCGCATAACAATTCCCATATTCAAACGGCCAACTTGTTGAATGAGGTGGGTCGGGAGCCACGCACAAGGTGGAAGAGTACTGCTGTGGCCAACACCGGTTAGCACCAAGAAGAGTGGAGGCCGACCACGGTTTATCCGGAGGAGTGGAGTACAAGCTCACTTGCCTGTTGTCCATGGCATTGAATTTGGGAGGCAGCTCGGATTGTGTCTCACTTTGATACACCGACAGCATTTCCGACGGCTGTGTGACGTTTCCTTGTAGGTCGGACTCCCAGCTAGAATACGGACTGTAGCGTGGTGTATGCCTCGAAGCACAGTGAAAACAGTTGGCACAATACGAGCATCGCTCGGACGTCTGACTTGTCCTAATCAGTTTCTCGAAATATTTCTTTTTTGCATCAAAATTATCCGTAATCGGTGTTACGTCCACCCCGCTGTCTGCCACATCGAGCACTGCGATGGAATCGGTTGTGGGATCTGGTCGATCAGTTTGGGTGCATTCTTCTATCTCATAACCCGTTTGTGTGGCTTGATGACGCTCCCGGACTGACCTATCGAATAGAGAGACGTGAGAATTTAGTTTATTGTGCCTTTGTACACCTCTTATTTCGTGTTCTGTGTTACTCTCTAGATCACTTGGAATAGACTGCACAGACCTGTACAGGTGTGGCGGAGACCAGCTACCGCGCCTCTCATGGTACGCTTGTCGCTCACGACTGATTGACTCGGCTCGTTGCATGCACTCCTGCCGTCCTCTTGTATCCTGAATCCTGGTTGTTTCTGTTCTACGAACATCTAAGGGGCGTCTGCCGTTCGACTTTTGTTCGCCGCCACTTCGAAACGAGCGTGCAAATTTGGAATTTTCTTCATAGGTTTTCTTGTCATCTATTCTGACGGATAGAGCTGTGCTTTTAAGATTTGTTTTTGACCCTCGTAGAGAACTGACCCACGGTGTTCGAAATGGCGGAGGGGACAGTGATTTCACCGACCAGGATCGCGTTGGTGATGATGAAGTGAATTTATGCCGATTTTTTTGCAACACTTTGGCATTGCATCGCCCATGTGATAGCGCTGATCGATCTGGGCTGTTTTCCGCACTGCTACACTTTAGCAAATACCGATGTGATTCAACCGGTGGAGGGGTTGGCAAAGGTTGTGGAAGACCTTCAGAATAAACTGGCTCCACAAAAAGCGGCAATTTCTTGCGATGTGAACTGGCCATATCCAAACCAAATGGTCGTCCGGTTGGTTGGCCTCTGAAATTCTTTGCTGATGCAGCATTATTTTGCGCGCCAGTGCAGCACTGTTTATGTACTGGCATCGGGTCTAGATCACTTCTGGGCAAAGTTTGTGTTCTATAGGGCGGTAATGTTTGTTCCTGAGTTGTTGAGAGTAGAGCGTTCTCCGCCACCCAGAGATTGGTTGCTTCGATGGTAGCATGGCTAGGGTAGGGACGTTGAGATACTACATAAACGCTCACAAAGTTTTTCGTGCCATTGTTGGATGGTTTGTTGTCCAAACGTTCATACACCACAGCCGACCTAACGTACACTCCATCCGTTTGTACAGGGCCCAGCCGGATTGTGTCCTTGTATGATGATAAGGGGTCGTTCGAGGGCGTGACTTCTGTACAACGGAAAGGAGGCGTTCTAGTGTTTTGCTTCATCTGGAATGATTTTACATTTTTGCATTGTTCCGTTGGTGAGCGTCCGCAACATTGGTTCCATCCGGTTCGCAGCTCACGACCATTGCCGCATTCTTCTTGAATAGGGACAGGGGACAACGAACGCTGAGTTATCGAGCCAGCTCGGTAACGTACTTTTTGGCCGCGGCGCTTCTCATATGAATTACCTAAACGATCCAGAGCGAGTGAACGAGACCGGAACGGTAACTGCACCGATACGACCGGGTGCATATTTTGGTGTCCCTTAGATACGGATGCGCATTTGTCAGACTGGCTGGAATGCCTGAGACGTGATTGCCTAGGCTGGATTTCGGCCAATTCTGATGAATCCAACGACATCTGGGGTGCATTAGGTAACTCTGACGAGCATTCTAGACCATGGCCCTGAAAGCTTGCTGGACGCGAGCAAAAGTCAACTGACTTCGAGGCTCTAACTCTGGTTGTGTGTTTGTCACCTTTTTGCGGAAACAATTCGCTGGAGCTGACTGTTCCGATGGATCGAGAACGTTGGAGAGGAGGGTGTTGGATGTTTTCAAAGACATGTCTCAAATCATCAACTGACGCAGTACGTAAGGGATCACCGTTTTCTCCTAAGTTTGTGTCTATTTGCAAGGCACTCACGGATTTCGACGGTAGTCTATGAGTCACACAATGAGTGCTTTCTTGCCTGTCAGTTGGCTGCTGTCTACCTCCCTGCACAGAGTGTCCAAGGAGATCGAAGTAATCCCTTAGTTCGCTTACTGTTGCACGACGACCGACCGATGCAGTATCATGGCTATCTTTTCCTTCCCTCGTTTCATGATTTAAAGATAATGATCTCATGAATAGTGACCTCAAAAGGTTTGACTTTCCCGTCCGAAATTGAGTATCGTGAACAGTAGTCAATTCGTTAGTGCGCTCCTAATTGGATTGTGCTTGAAACCTTTCGCTCGGGTTCCGTAAATCAATACCTTGTGGGAGTGTCTACCGTTTCTTGAGCCTGTCGTCGAAGCGAGTAAGTTAGTCCGGTGATGAACTAATTTTGCTGACTCACTCGAGCATCCATATTAATCACGGATAACCCAAAAATAAGGCTCAGGTGGACGTAGTCGGAGGTGTGGCTCCCAGCAACACTTTCCATTGTTCTGTCGCACAACGCGCAGCGAGCAAGAAGATACCGAACACGTTGATTATGGCTGCAAGGGTTAAAAATAGTATCGATCAGCAAAGAGTAGAAAACATGGCAAATACATTTCAGCTACATTTATTTGGAAGTCCTTAGAAATGGGGGCAACATTTGGTTGGTTGCAACCATAAAGTCAGAAAAGAGATATACGAGGATCATGCAATAAATATGGGGAATTTCTGGTATAAGGAATTCTAATACAGATAAAAGCTTACTTTTTTATTTTTCTTGGTTTACTTCTTTTTCACATGGATGTAATTTCCTTTGTAAGTTGAAAAAGCGATTAACAAAGATGGCCGATCAAGAAGCATGCTCCAGGATTGAGCGACGGTCAGTTATCAAGTTTCTGTTTGCTGAAGAGTGCAAACCAGTTGAAATTCACAGGAGAATGTCAAGTGTGTATGATACCACATGCTTCAGTCGAAAAATGTCTACAAATGGGCAAAATTGTTTAAAGAAGGACAGAGCAGTGTTGAGGATGAAGACAGGCCTGGAAGGCCTACAGATGTGAGGTCTCCTGAGGTGATCGAATCAGTCAATGACCTCACTCAGTCGGACAGAAGGGTGACAGTGGATGACACTGCAAGTACTTTGAGCTTATCTGTTGGGACAGCACACAAAATTGTCCATGATGATCTCGGCTACTCGAAAGTCAGCTGCCGGTGGGTGCCAAAGATGCTTACTGAAGAGCACAAACAGAGGAGGGTGGAGTAGTGCTAGCAGTGTCTCTGCCGCTTTGAGATGGATGGTAATGAGCTTCTGAAGGAGGTGGTCACATGTGACCAGACATGGGTTTGCCAATATGAGCCTGAGTCCAAACGGCACTCCACGGAGTGGAAGCACGTAGGCTCTCCAGTGAAGAAGAAGTTCAAGTCCCAGCAGTCCACGAGGAAAGAGATGCTCACCGTTTTTGAGATATGCAAGACCCAAGCACCATTACATTCCTTGAGAAAGGAAGCACTGTGAACAGTGACAACTACTGTGAACTGCTCAGGCAGGTCAAGAAGGACATAAAGAACAAACACAGGGGTTGTGAGTCAGAAGGAGTCATGTTGCATCATGAAAACGCAAAGTTTCACACAGCTGCCCGAAGGGTGTAGACCATCAACCAGCTGGGCTGCGAACTGCTCCCTCATCCCCCTTACAGCCCAAACCTTGCCCCTCCAGACTTTCACCTGTTTGCACCCTTGAAAGCTTTCACGAGAGGCACGAAGTTTGGAAGTGACGAGGATGTCAAAGGTGTTGTGGGCTACTGGCTGAGACATCAGTCCAAAGATTTTTACGTTGAGAGAATACGGAAGCCTGTGCACAGATGGGAAAAGTGTGTGACAGTGCTGGGAGACTACGTTGAAAAATAAACAAAAGTAAACTGCTATCTGTATTAGAAGTCCTTATACCGAAAAATTCATCTTATTTATTGAACGACCCTCTTATAAACACTTAAGAACCTGTGCCATATCTACAGGTATAAAAACTCGTGTTTGTTAGCGTCTGCTATGCTACCTTGCCCGAATCCATTATTTCTGGCGAGAGAACTAACGAAAAGGCTGACCTCTGTTCGAGCTAAGCCAATGAAATTGGTTTATTCATATTAGTTAGTGTACCCCACAACCATGTTGTCAAATAAGTCCAACCCGTTTATCGGAACCGAGTGAACTAGAAAAGCACTGCAGTCTGTTTCGTCCAGCTACTGCAGTGCGTGGTTGTTCTGTGTCTAGCGAATAACCGCAATTGTTCTGACATCGACCAACAAGGGTTCGAGAGGCTTGTAATGACAACCCATACTGAAACAGTTCTGCCATGGATACGCACGAAAACAACGACACGATATCCGTCTTCATGTTATGTGAATACGTTTCATGTTGTACCGTGATGAGACAAGGAATACCAATCCTTGGACAGATTACGGACTTGCTAGATACACGCGGACGAGTAAAATAACTTCGGTTCCCTTGAATCTCCTCATGAAGCATCTTTAGTGCTTTCGGTTGGAAGGCGCTTCGCAACCAATGCAGTTAACATAAATGCCCCAAGTGTCTTTGGTCGTTCAAGTAAAGTGGCTTCCAATGGATGCTAATAGGTGAGCTGAAACAGCTTAGGAATGTTTCAGAGGCTGGTGGCACTAAAACAATCATCCCTCTATGACCCTCAATAGAGCGGCATGTAAGGACAACGCCGGCAGAACAGCTGATAGATCTTGTTGCTTTATCAGGCTCGAATGCGACAGAATAGGCCATCTTCTTCTCCGTAAGTTCAACCAAAGCAATACCCAACGACAATTATTTTGACATGTTGTATCCGAGCAGCACGTTATTTGGATACCAAGAATATTATTAGGTTGTTGAAAAGTTATTGCGGCTTTTAGCCACAAAATTTGAATGGCTCAAACACAAAATTTTTATCAGAAAAAACCTTTTGATTTGATAAACTTTTGTCATGGAGAATAAAATTTATTTATCCCTGATGAATAAGATTCTGGAGTCTTATTATCGTCAACCCGTCAATGTGATTTCAGCAAGTACTTGAGTTTTAAAACATTTCTTTCGAAAGTACTTATCCAGACGCTTGAATGATTGGGAATCCGTAAGCAAGAAGTCAGGGGAGTATGGTTTGTGAGGCAAAACTTCATTGCCCAGCTGGCGCAGTCTTGGCAATGGTTGCCGATGCACTAGTTTCTCATCTGGGTAACTGTAAGACCATCACGCCTGAGCAGCCCTGTTTCCATCGACAGCGGTCACGTACAACGAATTTACTAATCGCACGCAGTAGTTGGACCGAGTCAGCTGACGCTGGAGAGAGCTCTGATGGGATCTACCTAGCTTTTGCGAAGGCTTCCGATTGTCGAGACCATCGCGTACTGCTCTCGAAACTCCAGTATTACGGTATTGGTCGGCCCTCTTTTAAGCTGGATTGCCAACTTTCTACTTCAACGGCAATTAGTGGTTAGAGTTCGAAGCTCTTTATGGAACCCATACAAGTTGAGTGTGGTGTGCCGCAAGCCTCAGTTTTAGATCCACTTTTGTTTTTGGTGTTTATTAATGATCCTGCACAGGGAATCGCTTCAAACTTCTTAATGTTTGTCGACGATATCAAGATCTGGCACAGGATCCAGGTGAACGCCGACCAGTATCTGCTTCAGAGTGACCTAAATATGATATATCAACGGTCAGCCCCAAAATTTACTGCATTTCAACTTGAGTAAATGCAAGGTAGTTTACATCCGACATCAAAGCAGCTACTCATACCGCCTCGGAACGAACGTACTGCAAAAACAACTGTCGAACGTGACTTGGGTGTCCTGGTTAAAGATGACTTGGTTTGTTCCAGACACTCCAAAAATGCCTCAAAGACTGGGAACAAACAAGTCGGGCTGTTGCGACGGGCGTTTGTACAACTAAACGGCTGCATTTTTAGACAGATGCTCAGTGCGTATGTTCGCCCCCATGTCGAATATGAAATTGAAGCCAGGCATCCATAGCTGGAACACGACGTTAATGCACTGGAGCGGCCACAACGTCGGGCGCAATCTTTAATAACAGGTGAGGCTGTAATGATTGGGGATATTCAGCGGACGCTACCGCAGACTACGGGGAAATCTGTTCATAGCATACTTGCTTCTACGAGACCCACAACATGTGTGTCGTCCTAGTCTGGGACTCGGCACTAATGTAACCCTGCGGGGACACTCATTAAAAGACGCAGAACAGTATAGCCATCTTGAGTAACGCATAAATTCCTTTTCCATCCGTGTCTGTCACCCATGAAATGCTCGCCCAACTTCGGTCGTCTCTGCACCGACAATAACAGTATTTAAAAGACGGTTGCATGACGCACTCATACACTTTGTCACATATCACCAAGTCTCCATCCTACTCTTAGCGTTTAGTATGAATTTATTTGATGTTAACTGTGGGTGCTGTGCATCTAAGCGTATTGCAGGACTACAGCGGAGCAAATGATAAGTTCTTATTTTCATATTTGAAGTACTAACTATTTTACTATTATTGTTTTCATTATCATTATGCTTGACATTTCGATATACCCACTAACTATCGAACGGGACTTGTAAACTAACGCTTCTTAAGCCGTATAAATTGTTCATTGTTGATTATTCATTTATTGTACGCCCTGCGACCGAGTATTAACGTAGAAAATAATTGGCCCCTTTCTTGTGACCAATTCCGGAATCATGTTTTGAATTTTTAGATGTATTTCGTCAATTTATCGATATTCCGTCTCCTTCTAATTGTTGGATTCAACAAACTGTGATGTATCAGATCAATCTTCGGTCATCAAACGGCCACGGTAACCTCGTTTTGCTGTCATTGCAACTATGGGAATGGTTGTCGAGCTTGATGTTGGTCAACACATAAACATTACGCCATCGATGGTCGTGGAAGATCCACTTTTCATCACATGTAACAATGCGTTGGCGAAATAAGTCGTTGTATTACACAGAACAAAGTCAGACGATACCTCTAGAGGATAATTTCTTTAAGTTTCACTCAATTCATGCCGCACCCATTCACCAAATCTTTGCAACGTTCCTATTTTCCCATACATGTAAGGAAACCGCCACTTGAGTTACTGCTAAATCAGAAGCAAATCTGGAACGATTGTACGCGGAGTCGTTTCGATACAGGCACTTAACTAATCGTTGTTCACCTCCGATTACAGTCCAGAACGCGCATCATTTTCAAGTCTCTCGTAAAATGTACGCAATATTTGTAGTTACCTTTGTGCTGTACGGTTATTAATGGATCCAGGACCAAATGCACTGTTGATGCCACGAGATGCTTCTACTGCATTTCAAGCTTTAAATGGAAAAGAAAACACTGCGAAGTTGTTTTTGTTCATGTTACATACAAGCTCTGAAAAAGTGTAAATGCATGTTTCTGAGTAACCCTATCAGTACTGATAGACGGATAGAAGAATATGACCCAAAATAGCATATGAATTTAAAGCAACTTATTGAAAACTGTTTAAATATACAGCTGTACAATTTAAATG